AGAACGTTTTGGCATCGCATCCTCTCATTCGTTACCACTTTCTAATAACTCACACGAAATTTGGCATTACAAGTTATGGCCTTATAAACAAATTAACTAATTATTAGTCTGGACGATCCCGAGGATCTTCCACAATCGCACTGATTTTTTTCAAGGTAGATTTCATAATAATACGTTGAAATCTATCATTTTTTTTAATTTCAAAATTGCAACCAGAATTTTTTTTTATTTTTTAGCCTTAGCAAAATGAAATATACGACGCAGGAGCGTGATATAGTTATTATCACTATTCGGAAGGCTTATGAAAAGAGCTTTAAGTTAAAAAAAAATTGTCAAGATTCGTTGAAAAACAACGGAGTTACAGACTGTCAAAGTTGACGGCCGATTGTTAAACAAATTAGGTTGGTAGCGGCAAAAAAAAACTGTCATAACCGGCAACCCGAGTACTTTCCCAGGTAAAAATATTTTCAATATTCAATAAGAAATATTGTCAAAAGTCAGTGGGTCGCTTGATTTTCGGCGAGCCGCGGTGCGGCGGAAGGGTGGGGGAAGCGAAGGACAGCGAGTTCGAAGAAAATGACGATAATATTCATACTCCTGCCGTTAAATAAGGGAAATTCGCTTGAAAATAATATATTAGACAGTCTGTAACTCCGTTGTTTTTCAACGAATCTTGACGATATTTTTTTAACTTAAAGCTCATTTCATAAGCTTTCCGAATATGTAATAATATATAACTATATCACGCGCGTGCGTCGTATATTTCATTTTGCAACTAAGGCTAAAAGATAAAAAAATCCAGGTTGCAAATTTGAAATTAAAAAAAATGATAGATTTCATTGTATTATTATGAAATCTACCATGAAAAAAATCAGTGCGATTGTGGAAGTTCCTCGGGATCGTCCAGACTAATAATTAGTTAATTTGTTTAAAAGGCCATAACTTATAAACTATTCAACTTACCGATTCCAGATTTCGTGTGAGTTATTAGACAGTGATAAGGAATGAGAGGATGCGATGCCAAAACGTTCTGGTAATAATAACGCAGTTTANCGGCAGAGGTCAAATGAAGGTCACCAACTGTTATGACGTCAAAGTCATTCAATGTCGAATGCCTCCTCCCATATGCAGAGGTCAAATGAAGGTCACCGTGTCCTCTATCAATGTCATTCAGGTCACGGATGACGTCATCCAAGGTCATCCCAAGGTCACTCAAGGTCATCCCAAGGTCGAAAGTGGAGGGGGGAGTCTCAGCACCGGCTATAATAACCTACTTACACATTACATGGTGAATATGTATATGATATACAGGTATGTGTTTCCTTGATATGTACCATATAAGAAATATTTATGTGCATTTGTTATCCAAACATATATAATGTTATTCGAGTAATAACTAATTTTAATATAGTAGTCTCAAAAAATAGGTTTAAAATTGGTAACTGTTAGAGAGAAGAGTATCTTTCTTTGTTACCTGTTGTATTGCTGATGTAGTATAATTCAGTTGGTAAATCAAGAACTCCCATTTTATGCCAACTAAAGTTCCAATATTGTGCATTCCATATGGGAAGAGATACGTGTCCCCTCGAATATGTGTTTCCTCCTGCATTTCCAAGCCAGACATCATAACCTTGATCAGCCAATAAAAAGGCTACAAGTAGAAAGGTTTGTAAATAAAATATTTTTGCATCAATTCCCAATTTTTTACCATTTTTGAAGGATGATTTTTATGCTCATATACAGAACTTTTTTGACGAATAAATTTACGATGGGATTTACGAAATAAATATAAATTGGGATAGCCTCCCCTAAGATCTCGAAAAGGGTTGTGCATATATGTGCAAAATGTATGTTTTTCATAATCAACAGGTATAAGGTATTTTTTTAATTATTCAAGATTTTTTTTTTCGTAGTTATACCCATTCCAACTTAGATTTGATACTGATTTCATAATGGAATTAAGAAAAATTAAAATTTTTTGGAAAATAAGATCGGTTGATTATAAAAAAACAAGTTTGCACATACACGTGCAACTCTTCGAGATCTGAAGGAGAGCCACCCTTATTTAGATTTTCTATAACACAAATAAATTTAAACATTAAATTTAGCAGTACAGTACAATAAATTACATAATATTTTTATATTTTGTAAGACAAAATATATCCAATGAAAATTTATTTTTTTGCGTGTACTTGTAAAAAAGGATTTTTTTTAAATAAATTTCGATTTGAATGTGTCAATCTGGGCAATCCTTTTAATATGGTTTATTTATATATACAATGATTCATGTGCATATCTGCATTTAGTGCAACATAATTACAGAAGAATACAGGGTGTGTAAAGAAGGTGCCATTGTTTGAGGGCAAATTTCCCCATCCTACAGTAAGAAAAAAGGTTCCTATCAGTAAGTGCCCATTCTTACTTCATTTCTGAGATACAGAGTATAATATAGTAGGACATCTTTCAGTTTCTTTTTTTGAAACAATTTTAGTAATTTAAAAAAAAATTTGAATGATGGTCATCTTTTCATCATTTATCATTTTCTGTAATTGTGTTTATATAAATTTAAATAAGTAATTCTTAAATTAAGAATATGTTGAAGTAAATGATTTAAATATACTACGTAACATATTGTATTTATCTCCATGAAGAGAGTAAAATTAAAAAGTATCAAGAGGCAACTTTTATTAAATCGATTTAACTAACCAGTAATGCATGCTTTTATTAATTAAACATGTTTCAATATTAAACTTGTTTTCAAACACTGCTTAGCAAAAAAACCTGAAAATAAATCCTATATTTAAATATATTTACAAGAATGAATATGCAAGAAAATGTTTTCGCAGAAAGTTTGTAAAACTGCTATATAAAAATTAAATCCGAATTAATACCTAAAGAATTATTTCCATTTAAAATCCAGTCCGCAGAACTTCCCAACAGACCATGTTGCAGTAACACAGGTTGATCACCCTGTTTTCCATTTTTTCCTGGTATTCTGTGCAGTGTTAGTAAATATCCATCATCTGTCACACAAATATGAGATTCAGAGCGATAACCATGTCTTTTTATGATCTGTGGAACATCCAAATAATCATCAGGATTAAATTTGCAGTCTATTTGGTTTCTCAGTTCTTCTAGCCCTTCACATCTGTCTTTTGGAAAATTTATCTCTTTAAATCCTTTCACGCTAAGGTATAGGACACACTGCACTAACACATATTTAAACATCTTGTCTAGAAGGAAATAATTATTGCTTCAGCACTGTAACAAGGAACTTAACTGTGTCAATTTTTTTGCAAATGATTCATTACTGCAATAGTATTTAAAAATAACATAAACCTTGTTGTTAATTATTTAAATAATCTAAAATAGTTAAATGAATAATCTGATTAATAATATATGTACATATATGCAAAGTATGTTTTCAAACTATGTAATTTTTGTTTGTCATTTAATTATATTTGCCACTAGTGGTGGTCAATGGACTTTGAATTTAGAGAAAGGTGAATCATGGTTTAGTTTATCATGGTCAAGTTGAAAAAAGTTAAAAATATAATGATTATAACAGCAATAATTCTGTTTTTGATATTACATTTCTTGCTAACTTAACCTTAAAAACTGCAATAGAAATATTGATTTTTTTTGCTAATTGAGTATTTTCTTGCCTGTGAATAATACAGAAAAATTTATAGAAAACTAAAACTTGCTACAAATATATAAATAGTTTTACACAATAATTTTACCTTGCTTATGTCTTGTTTGGGGCTAATGTTATTCCTTTTCTGAAAATCAATCAAATTAAGTCCAATTTAAATGTTTTTAATAGGTACAAAATAAAAAAAATTTAAATCAGTAGGTACTTAAGCAGTGCTTCCAATGTGCTGTACATTTCATGCAAGCTTTAGTTTTGTACAAGAAATCTACTTCCATTTTAAAATAAACTTTCAAAATTTTGATATATTCTTCACTTATCTTATTTTTTTCAAACCCTGGCTTAAAAAAATCAAGAATAAAAATTTAAAAAGTAGGAAATTTTTTTATAAAGAAAAATATCTATTTATAATTTAATACAACCGAGTTTTTTTTTTCAGATACTCCAATACCTACCATTAAAATTACATCAATCTCTAAACGTCTCTCTATGGAACGAAAAAAACGTATTAACAAAATAAGACGATTGAGTTCAAAAAAAGAAGCGAGTCATTCTAATGAAACTTTCACAGCAGATTATGGAAAATTTCAGGTGTGTAAAACNGAACGAAAAAAACGTATTAACAAAATAAGACGATTGAGTTCAAAACAAGAAGCGAGTCATTCTAATGAAACTTCCACAGCAGATTATGAAAAATTTCAGGTGTGTAAAACTGATTCCATTTGTTAATTCTATATAATTTGTAAATGCTTTTCCTTTACACTGGTTTATTTGCTATTCTCTGACATGCAATTAAAATTTTTATTTTATTTACATTGGCAATACAGGCTGTAACAAATTCGCTTCTCACTACAGGGATCTCGAAAACGGTAAGAGATACAAAGTAGCTTAAATGGGGGTAAAGTGCGTAATCAGGAGACCAACATTATGCCTCTAAAAATCAAGGCTAGTACGATTAGTTTTCGAAATATTTGAAAAAAACCGAAATTTTGGAAATCCGTTTTTGTTTCATTTCAGTCTTCTTTGAGGTGATATTGAAAACAGAAGAACACTTTCTCATGGCCTCTTTTTGCCCTTTATCGAATGGCATAATCAATTTTTATATGTAACGTTTCGTCTCTCCAGGACCATCATCAACTTCATTTTTTTAAATACAACCCTAGAAATTTTATTGCAACCAAAATGCCAACTGAATATTTATTCTTTAAAAAATGTCAGTAAATGTTCAAAATCATTTTTGTTTTGGCAAAGGTTGAAAATGAAGATCAGCGTATTATCGGATTTTATTATATCTGTAACCGCAACTTTACTGTGAAAGAGCATGTCAGATGTATTTGTATGAATATCCTGAAAAAAATAGATCAGAATTTGTTTGAATTTTGAGCACTCGAGAAGCCCAGAAATAACTATGGACACGGGAATAAAACTAATAATTTTTTATTTTAGTGCATGGTGGTAATAGTTTAAATAACTAGATGGAGTTCACAGGGTCTAACGACACTTACAGTGTACGATAATTCAATAAACAAAGAAATCTAAATAAAAAATTTAGATAAATTTGGAACGAATACACTGAAGATGAGTTTTTCGTAACAAAACGTCTGAATCTGGTTCGGGCTGAGGCAGTACAGTATTGGGGGTCATGAAGGCTTGCAAAAAATGTAATCTGTCCTGGAGAGACGAAACGTTACATATAAAAATTGATTATGCCATTCGATAAAGGGCAAAAAGAGGCCATGAGAAAGTGTTCTTCGTTTTTCAATATCACCTCAAATAAGGCTGAAATGAAACAAAAACGGATTTCCAAAATTTCGGTTTTTTCAAATATTTCGAAAAATAATAGTACTAGCCTTGATTTTTAGAGGCATAATGTTGGTCCCCTGATTACACAACTTTGCCCCCATTTAAGCTACTTCGTATCTCTTACCGTTTCCGAGATCCCTGTAGTGGGAAGCTAATTTGTAACAGCCTGTATATGTAGTAGGTACTAAATTATTTTTTATTCAGAATTTAAAGAAAAGGTAGGTACATAACTTTATTTATTTTAATTATTCATTACAGTTCAAAATNAATATATGTAGTAGGTACTAAATTATTTTTTATTCACAATTTAAACAAAAGGTAGGTACATAACTTTATTTATTTTAATTATTTATTACAGTTGAAAATGTCCCAATAAAGAGATAATTATTTAAAAAAACAAAATGACATTATAAATGTTTTGAAATAAATATTTAATGATAAGTTTAAAAATATATAACAAAATTCAACATTTTTTTTTGGTATATGCAAAAGTTAGTTCATAAATAATAAGAGGCACATTTTCTTGTACTAACCAAACTATAAAAATCTGATAATTTTTCATCTTTTCTGTGGTGTAGGAAATATACTTTTATTTTATTACCTGCTTGTTTTATTTTCATCTCTTTCATATCTCAGTGTGATGTTACATATCGATACCCATCAAATTTTATAAGTATTTGAAAAAAATATTTGTAGCAGTTTTAAGTTTTTCTTCCATCGATTTATTTATCAACAGATAGTACGAGTTAACTTCCATTAGAATTAAATTAAAAATATTTATTAGCCACAAAATTAAAGTATATAAAAAAAATACCTGCGTGATTTTCAAAATATAATGAAAAAAAAGCAAAAAAACCAAATTGATGTTTGAAGTTTCAGGATTGGATTCATTCAAGATTTTTCATCTCTGACCACCTTTAAGATCATAAGAAATCCAGCGGAATTTTTTTTTTATTTTCACATTCAAAAGGTCCACGGGCTTCAATTATTTTATTTTTGGCAATTCAAGAGCTTTGTATGGTGATTTATCACTGAGTTTTTGATTTTTTTAAGCCTCACAGTATTCCAAAGAAACCCTCAAGTTTTCAAATTATTGCGACTTTTCTTTCCTTTTTATCGAAATTGTTACACTTGCTAAAAATCAATTAATCAATCAAAGATAAATTTTGCATCGTTTATTATTTTTTAAATTGAATACGTTTTTCTTCGCAAAAATCTATGTTTTTATCAAAAAATGTTAAATATTAAAAAACAAAGATGATAAACGATAAAAAATTTTGACTTTCAGAAACTAGAAATTTCAGGCTTCAATTTGCTTTATTTTATTGTTCTGTGACCAATTTCGTCAAGTTACAGCCTTTTATAAATCTCCTAAAAATTTAGGATTTTTTTTATCCGTTAATTAATTTTCGTGGCTAGTGTAGTATTTACGGATTTGCAATTGTTGAAAATAAATTGTGACATGATACATATACACAAATACATATTAACAAAAAAGTGTACACTTACCTTAAAATATATTGCGCCACATAAAACAGCTATTATTAATATATTGTTATGTAATCATTTTTTTTTTCAGGAGCGCCCACTGGCGTTCAGTTCAGTATGTGGAACTATGATTAGTCTAGGAGCCAGATAGGGTTCCGTGGACAATCAGAGTGCCACGGCTGCAAACAACTTATTCTTCAGTATTTTGACCTCCTGAATCCAATAAACTTGGTCGCAAATCCTGAAAGTGGGCAGTTTAATTGTTATTAACAAATTAAATGTTTAAATGGCTGCGAAAAGTTTATTTTTATAGCCAGTACAATTTTTTATGCGTTAATAGTTAGGTTATCTCATAACAAACATATATTTTTTTGAAAATTAAAAAAAGATCGACTTTAACCAAAGTTATTACAAGTTTAGTGCAAATATCTTACATTTTCCGTCTCCGCGCGCATCAATTTTACCCTATCTCTGGTTCTATTGGACGGACTGAGACGCACAACATTTAAAGCTTGAACTTTATTTTACAAGATAGGTAAGTTCCATTTATCAATTTATTTATTTAACAATTAATGGCAGCTTAGAAAGTTGTAAAATTTTAACGAAAATGCTGGTTTTATTTGTTTATAAGGCTTTCTTTATTATTTAACTTCGAAGAAAAGCCAAAAAAGTTACCGGATATTGTTCCTCGCATCCTAACAATCATTTCATGCCTTATAGTTCTTAGTTTTTCTTTATCAAAACCCGTGAAGAGACGCGCGTAAGTCGAGAGCGATCTACGCGCGCTCTATCGAAAGCTCAGTGCAAGAGTGCGACGTGTTTATATTTTATTATTAAGAAGTCACAAAGACTAAATAATAAAAAAGCATTAACAGTTGATTTAATTACTGATATTTATAAGATTTACATAAATAATAACAATTGTATAGATTTTAATAAATTTATTTCTTTTTTAATAATGGGCTCATTATAGACATTTTTGCAGGTGCTTTACCTTTGGCAATAGCAAAATGAGTAACATTTAATTTCTGCAGCCACACAAACACATGATCTTGTAGAGCATATACTTTGCAATGTGCAATTAGTGATGAGTTCATCTGGTGGAGGAAGCAATATTTGTATTTTTTGGAGCAAGCATATCTGCATCATCTATCCAGCCGAACCCACTTGTAGGAGGCAGCTTTTCTATTAAAGCGGATTTTGAATGGTGATAAGACCATACTCGTAGTCGATAAATTTCTTACAGGTTGTACCTTTCTTTACGACTTTAACTAAATATTCTTCTGTCATTTTAATATTTGCTTCCATAGTGGTTTCTGAATAATCTATAAAATGAAACATCACATTTTTAAATATTTAAACTACCGGTTATATGATTAATTTTATTAATGCCTTGACAATGAAATTTGCAGTAAACTACATTTCACCTTTTCCAAAATTGACCAAATAGTCGGATCCCTTTGCAAAGCCGAATGGTGTTTGTAATTCTTGTTTAAAAAATAGATTAACATCAAAAACATATGGGTGTCTCATAATTAGCTGCCAACCCTGAACAGGCCCATTCTATGATCAAAACTAAGTAAAAAAGTTCATATGAACATGGGTCCGGAAATGCTTCCTAAGGGCACAGGGACCCATTGAAGAGGGAGGAATGGAAATCATTTTTTTGCAATATCTCTCAATCGCGTTGTGATAAATGAATGAAATTTGGTATACACAGCTAAATTTTGATGAGCAATTTGATGGACTAATCCATTTATTTCCACAAGGTCCATTGGGGTGGGTACGGGGGGGCCCTTGGTACTTTGCGTGTGTAACTTTTTCATCTTTGACTTTTTAACAAATTGGACAGCAAATTCCGTTTTCCCGAACTGTTTTACGTTAAAAAGGTACTCTTGTTTCAAATCGTTATCTTTAACGGTTTCTGAGAAAATCGCTCTTGAATTAATCCCACTTTGGTCAATTTCATAGTAATTTAAACAAAAAATAATAATAATAATTTAATACGTAATCAGTAATACACATTATTGATGTAGAACAATTATGATATGATGATTTGTTTATGGCTTTTGCGATGGTAATGCTGCGCGGCAGAACGCGAGTACGGCAGAAGGTTTCCAAACAGAAGGCTGACATCAAGGAGGACATTCCTCACTGTATTCCGCAATTTAGCTGCAACCGTCACTTTTCGAAGGGATCATAAGATGGAAACTTAATTTTGATAACAGACAACAAGCTATTTTAAAAACTGTTCAAAAAACCCTCCACCTTCTCTGATACAAAGTCTTGCCCTACGTGTAACACTTCTCGAAGCTATTAAGATGCTAAAACGGTTTTGACGAATTTCATTGGCTGCATCATTGATACGCTGCAGCAATTCCTCACGGGTATCGACTTCGGTGGCGTAAACTTTTTGATTTAGATATCCCCAGAAAAAGAAGTCCAGCGGGGTTAGGTCGGGAGAACGCGGCGGCCAAGCTACCGGTCCGTGCCTCCCTATCCACCGTCCAGCGAAATTTTCGTTTAGGAAATTTAGAACATTGCGACCACTATGTGCCGGGGCTCCATCGTGTTGAAAAAACATGTTACGTCGTAAATTTAGAGGCAGATCATCGAGAATTTGGGGAAGATTTTCTTGAAGTAAGTTTAAATAAAGATTTGAATTGAGACGTTGTGGAATTTCAATAGGTCCAATCAGAGTGTCGTGAATTATTCCCGCCCATAAATTTATGGAAAACCGTTGCTGGAAGTTTGTTCTCCGAACAACATGTGGGTTCTCTTCTTCCCAATAATGAGAATTATGAAAATTTAATTTTCCATTTCGGGTAAAAGTAGCTTCGTCACACCACAAAATTTTGGAAGCTTGCTCGTTGTCCAGCGACAAAATCCAGCGACAAAATTGCATACGTGGCGCAAAATCTTCTGGTATCAAGCCATGTACACGTCGATAGTGATAGGCATGTAGACCTTGTCGCTTTAATATTCTTCCAACCTGAAATGTTAGTAGCACATCTAATCAATTCTGTTAAGGAAATCTTTAAGATATGTAGTACCGTTGGCCGAGGAACATTTATTTGCCTTGAAATGTTCCGTATGCTAGTCGTAGGATCTTGTTCAATAGCGTCAAGGACCTCCGCTTCCCTATTAATCCTGGGACGTCCTTGACCCGGTGCCTTTCGAAAAGTGGCGGTTGCAGCTAAGTTGCGGAATACCGTAGGGAATGTCCTCCTTGATGGCAGCCTTCGGTTTGGAAACCTTCTCCCGTACTCGCGTTCTGCCGCTGCAGCATTACCATCGCAAAAGCCATAAATAAATATCATATCAACTAACTCTTGTCCCGTAAACTCTTCCATTTTTTTCGCTTAGAACTATTAAATTGGCAATCGGGTTGACAATACTTTGACATAAGAATACCTTGATAATTTTGTTTAAATTACTATGAAATTGACCAAAGTGGGATTAATTCAAGAGCGATTTTCTCAGAAACCGTTAAAGATAACGATTTGAAACAAGAGTACCTTTTTAACGTAAAACAGTTCGGGAAAACGGAATTTGCTGTCCAATTTGTTAAAAAGTCAAAGATGAAAAAGTTACACACGCAAAGTACCAAGGGCCCCCCCGTACCCACCCCAATGGACCTTGTGGAAATAAATGGATTAGTCCATCAAATTGCTCATCAAAATTTAGCTGTGTATACCAAATTTCATTCATTTATCACAACGCGATTGAGAGATATTGCAAAAAAATGATTTCCATTCCTCCCTCTTCAATGGGTCCCTGTGCTCTTAGGAAGCATTTCCGGACCCATGTTCATATGAACTTATTTACTTAGTTTTGATCATAGAATCGGCCTGTTCAGGGTTGGCAGCTAATTATGAGACACCCTGTATAGTGCACTTGCACTCTGAGCTCTCGATAGAGCGCGCGTATACATCGCTCTCAACGTACCCGCGTCTCTTCACAGGTTTTGATAAAGAAAAACTAATAACTATAAGACATAAAATGATTGTTAGGATGCGAGAAACAATATCCAGTAACTTATTTGGCTTTTCATACAAGTTGAATAATAAAAAAGCCTTATACAAATAAAACTAGCATTTTCGTTGAAATTTCACAACTTTCTAAGCTGCCATTAATTGTAAATAAATAAATTAATAAATGGAACTTACCTATCTTGTAAAATAAAGTTCAAGCTTTAAAATGAGATCTCGTGTGTCTCAATCCGTCCAATAGAACCAGAGATATGGTAAAATTGGTGCGTGCGGAGACGGAAAATGTAAGATATTTGCACTAAATTTGCAATAACTTTGGTTAAAGTTAACCTCTTTTTAATTTTCAAAAAAATATTTGTTTGTTATGAGATAACGTAACTATTAACCATAAAAAATTGTACTAAGTATAAAAATAAACTTTTTATATTTAAACATTTAATTTGTTAATAACAATTAAACTGACCACTTTCAGGATTTGCGACCAAGTTTTTTGGATTCAGGAGGTCAAAATACTGAAGAGTGGCACTCTGATTGGCCATGGAACTCTATCTGGCTCCTACACTAAATAGAATAGTGTCAGTATATTTGACACTTCTTAGTTTCGCTTGTGAATTATATGTTGCAATAGGGTATGTGGCAATATCAGTTTTAATGACTGAAATTGCTGTGAACAAAGAAACAGGTGCTATCGTAACGTTTGCATACCAGTTTTGAGTTATTCACTAATTAATAATCTATAAATTTGAAATTAAAAAACTAATTATTATTTGTTTATGTCATGTGACAGCAACAGTGCTGTGATTGGCTATGACGTCAAAGTTCATATTTATCATGGTGTGATTGGTATCCGCGAATCACGAATTTCTTAAATTAAACTGGATCGCCGTTTCTTAATAGCATTTCTGTCATTCTCCAGGTGGCAGACATACTGTGCTAAAACTCAATTGGTAAACTTTTATCCAATAACAATAATGTGATTACCGCGGGAAATTATGAAATTATTTATGGCGTAAACAGTTAAATACATATTGCGCAATATTTTTCCTAATACTTTCCTGTTTCCTGTGAATACTTGTTCTACAAAAATAATTGTGACTAGCTATTGAAATCATATAGCAAATTTTTAAATGCCCATAACATGTAACGAGCGTTCAAATAA